AGACAGATAGATGTATTTTGATCTGGGATTTTCCATAGAAGATTTCTTCAGATTTTATCTCCATGTCCCACCAAGATGCCAACAATAATTTTTGTCACTGAAACATGGGTAATTTCCAAAACTTATCTGGAAACTACTGGTCCTTCTCGACTAGTTTGTCCTCAAAATTTGAGGAAATCCATGCTTTGATTAACAGCCCATGTTGCTACAAACCAGCAAAATGTTTGGCTTGAAGATACACCAACTCCACATCTCAAGGGTTAAACACTCACCCTTTTGGCTGGCTCTCAAATTCTTCGGCCCACTGCTCCTGTGCGTCTTCAGTGGAGAGGTCCACGTCGCGTGTGGTGGCAAAATTTAACTCGCTGCCTTCAGTCCCGTGGAAGTAAATGGCATTTCCATCTGACTGACAGCTATGCTGCAGAAAAACACACGTGCAGGAAGGATCTGTTAAGTCGATTTTGTATGTGAGGTTTGCAGGGGGGAAAAAAGTGTATTATTTGATAAATGGCTTGTAACAGAGGCTAAACTCCAAAAAGAGATTGACATTGACATCCGCCCAATGTTGCACCCAACATTTCTGCTGCTAAGTGAAACGTTTATTCAGTAAATTTTGCCCCGTTTTACGACCTTTCCTCCCACAGTTGTTAAGTGCTTGCTTACTTGCTTCCCCATTGACTTTCCTTGTCAGAAGGTCCTAAAAGGGGATCCTGTGAGCCCAGAGACACTGAAACCGTCATAAATATGAGTCAGTTTCCAAGCGCCTGAATTTTGATCATGCGACTGTGGGGATGCGGCAATGGTCATTAAGTCACTTTTTTCAGTACCGTTGTAACTTCGAATGGTCACTAAATGAACTGTTGTAAGTCAAGGACTACCTGTAATTAATCATTTCTCTAACACAATTATTTTAATTTAAAGCTGTACCAGACATTAAAAGTCCATCCTATTTTGATTATTGTTCATCATGGCCATCCTACATTTGTCAAACACAATTAGGTACACACACAGGGCATTTGATGCACATAAAAAAAGCAAAACTTTAATTGCATTGCCACCTTTATTTTTTTAAACACACACAGAAACACACTGGTAGATGCATAAGTGCATAAGTGCATAATTGTGCCTACCGTCCCTGTCCTATTGTCCCCATTTATTTGTATCTATTTCCTGTATTCTTATTCATGTTTATACTTATACCTATTATCTTGTAAGCGATTGACAAATCAAATCAAATCAAATCAAGTCAATGAATGAATGAATGAATGAATGAATATATTGCATCTTTAATCCTAAATGTCAGCTGCCTATTTTTCATTGGCACTGATCCCTGAAACACTGGATACTGATTTATTGATAGTAGTTTGAGGATTTTAATTTTTTATTGCAGTAGGTCCCCCAAAAATAATAATGAAAATGATTAAAATGTTAGTATTTTAGCAGTAGACACCCTACTTTTAACTATGAATCACTGCATCACGATATTCACTTTCATAAGGAGGCGACACTTTCAAAGATTTTTAAAAATACATTTTTATTAAAGAAAAATATAAGAGAGAAAAAAGAAGTAGAAAGTAGTTGGACAGGGGTATATGTATCTTGGAAATCAGTATTTTTCAGTATTTCATTAATGGATTATAAATGAATTATATCATTTTAAAAACTGTAAGAGTGTTTTTAAAAACTACTTTGTGCCATGGTACTTGTAACAGAATCTATGTATCAGAAACAGCAGCACAGGTCATAAAATTACAGTCAATTCTGTCCATATGATTCAAGGTCTACTCTGATTTAAAAGAACCCATAAAGCTGAAATTTTAAGATGTTTTTGTAATAAGAAACCAAATCCTTGGATGTGAGGCAAATGCATTCCTCAAACTGTAAATCAGAGATGGCTTCCAAACTGAATTTAATTCTGCAACAGATTTAAGGTATAAAGTTAGCTTGGATATCAAAGCATGGTCCTGCAATGTAGTTAACCTTTCTTCCACCGAGTGGATCAAATGTCCCTTTTAAATAAGAAACCTCATAATTGCTTTGCAATATGTCAGGTGATGATATAGAATTAAACAGCTAAGCCAAAGCAATAAAAATAGATGGTGACACCTCTCAATCAAAGGCCTCCAGCAACTCTATCTTTAATAATCACCTGATGCCTAAAAGCTGAGCCTATAGAGAACAAATTGAAACTTATTTGAAAACATACAGTGTAGCATCAAATAAGGTATATACATAAATCCAAAAATGAAATGCTGATAAGCCATGAGGCAGCAGCTACTATTAGAAACAAACATTTTATTGTTCTAAATGTAATAGAATGCACAACTAAAACCTCTGTAAATTTAATTGAAGCAATTAAATATATTTCTCCTCCACCTCCTCCCCTCTCCCTCCTTTCCTTCTCCTTCTTCTTCCTCATTTCCCTTCTCCTTTCCTCCTCCCTCCCCCTCCTCCCCCTCCCCCTCCTCTCCTCCTTCATTTCCCTTCTTCTTCCCTCCTTCCCTCCTTCTCCTTCTGTTCTCCTCCTCCTTCCTCCTCCTTCCTCATTTCACTTCTTTCTTCCTCCTCCTCCCCCTCCCCTTCTCCTTCCCTTCTCTTCCTCCTCCCCCTTCTCCTCCTCCTCCTCCCCTTCTCCTCCCCTCCTCCTTCTTCCTCATTTCACTTCTTCTTTCCTCCTCCTCCCTCATTTCCTTCTCCTCTCCTCCTCCTCTTTGGGTGTTGAGGAAGATACAAAATTCATCCATTCATTTATTTCACCCCAAATTTGAAATTTCTTTAATAAGCATAACTGTAAAGCAACACATCAGTTTTATTTATTAAATATAGCCTCCCATAACTTCCACTTTGCAGCTTCAAGATGCTTCCACTGGATACATCTGGACTAAATCCCTTAGTTTACTTGATTCAAAGGTTTTGTGATAGCTCCCATCTTTCTGAATTCTCAATTCCACTTCTGCTATATTGGTGTGTTACCTATACCAATACTTACATCTAATCAAAATCTATCTCAAAGATTTGTTAGCAGCTTAATGGACATGAAATTTCTCTCAGACAATTAGAGCTTCACAAATATTTTTTTTTTTAAAACAACTCTGGCTATTTTGGGATGAGCTTTGTCCAGTGTGTGGTCAGTATCCAGTTTGCAACAGGCTGGTGTTAAATGGAAAGAAATCTGCCCGCTTCCTTTGTACATTTACTTTTATGGAGAGTCATCGATTTTCTCCATTAAGAAGTTGCCATTCACCCACCCAGCTGGAAACGCAATTTAAAATAAAAATAAAAATCCCAGCCTGACTGGTTGCACCGACTACAGAAATAAAGAGCCTTTTCAAAATGCAAGTTAGACTATTATTTGCAACAAACCAAGTGGTAAACTTCAACAGCCCTCCATTTTGTAATCACTGTCACATATTAAATGATTGTTTTTACCACTTCTGATCCTTCACAGAGTGGTTTTTAATTAAAACCTATGCCGTGCAATTTGATTAAATACGAGGAAAGAAAAATTAAGTTGGAAAGAAATTAATTAAAAATGTATTATGTATACAAACATGAATTTGATATTATGCGTTGCCAGGAACAAATTATAATATGTTTTTTTTTCTTTTTATTTTAAGACTGCAATTCGAAATCCATCTATTTATAATTGTAATATTGCACAATAAAACTGATTGCAGATTAATGGAAAGTTGTAACTTTGATACACCTTAATGCGTTTACAGTTATGTATTTAACAGTAATCGCTGTTTTTTAAAAAAAATAATGGGTTACAAGGTTGAAATACAAAGAGAATAATTCAGGCTTTTTCATAATTAAAAGCAGTGGTGGGATTCAACCAGTTCGCACCAGTTTGGGAGAACCAGTTTTTCACTTCCTGAGCAGTTTGGTGAACTGGTTGTTGGAAGAAATCATTAGGAAAGAGAACCGGTTGTTAAATTATTTGAATCCCACCAATGATTAAAAGCAATATATAACTAGGATTAAAGCTGCTCTTTACTGAGTAAAGATGAAAGGTTTAATTACTTTTAATGTGATATGTAGACGAGCAGTTGTTATAGCTAACAACTAGTTAACAGTGGCTGGTCTTGAACAGTTAAACAGGGTCAAATCCAATTAATATTTGAACAGGGGATTATAGCAAATCCCAGAAGATCAATCACATTAGCAAACTAATGGACAAAAAATAAAAATAAATGAATAAAAACCAAATAAAAAGATGTCCATTTAGCCACCAGAAGCTAAGTATAAATTCATGAGCACTTGCAAAGCAACCACCCCAAAATTGAATCCATCTTGCTCCGATTTCTTCCAACAACCAGTTCACCAAACTGCTCAGAAAGTTAACGTCCGGTTCTCCCAAACTGGTGTGAACCGGCTGAATCCACTACTGATCTTGCTGCTTTATGTAAGTTTATCTTTCCTTATGCAACTTAATCCTGGAACTAGTGAATTTCCCCATTTCCACAGTTGTTACAGTATTTATAGATAGGGAGTCCATTGAAAAGAAACAGTAAGAAAGGAGCACAGGTAGTCCTTGACTTACGGACCAGAACTGAGGCCAAAAATTCTGTAGCTGAACAAAGCAGTTGTTAAATAACTTTGGCCACTTTCTTGCCACCATTGTTAAGTGACTCACTTAACCTGGACGGCCTCCTGCAGCACTCTGCCGGCCAAAATGGGGCATGGGGGGTCATGTAGCCCCCCCTGCACCCCATTTTTCAGCCTAGAGGCTTCCTGCAGTACTCTGCTGGCCAAAAAGAGACACGGGGGCAGCGTGCAGCCCCCATGCACCCATTTTCGGCCTGGACGGCCTCTTGCAGGACTTTGCCGGCCAAAACGGGGAGCAGGGGGCAGCGCACAACCCCCACCTGCCCCATTTTTGGGCTGGACGGTCTCCTGCAACAGTCTACTGGCCAAAATGGGGCATGGGGGGGCACCCCCGCACCCCATTTTTCAGCCTAGAGACTTCCTGCAGTACTCTACTGGCCAAAATGTGATATCGGGGGGCAGTATGCGGCCCTCACGCACCTTATTTTTGGCCTGATGGCCTCCCGCACCACTTTGGTGGCCAAAACAGGGAGCGAGGGTCAGCGCGTGGCCCCCACCTGCCCTATTTTTGGGCTGGACGGTCTTCTGCCACACTCTACTGGCCAAAACAGGGAGCAGGGGGCAGGGTATAGCCCCCATACCTCCATTTTTGGGCTGGACCGCCTTCTGCAGCACTTTGCTGGCTGAATAGAGAGCTGCAGGACACCGTCCAGGCTGAAAACGGGGCACAGGGGGCCACGTGCAGCCCCCCTGTACGCCATTTTGGCTGCCAGAGGCACCACGGGCTGGTCCTTTGCTATTTCCAGGCCAGCCCCATGGGCCAGATTTCAGGCCTTGAGTTTGAGTATGCTTTAGTTTAGAACATGTAGGTCAAAAAATTATCTATTTAAACTGCACAGAAATTGCATGTTCTAGTGCAAAGACAACGGGCAGTATCAAAGAAAATAGAACCCCAGCATTACAGAACACTACTATCAGAATAAAATAACTGTATTTATTTATTGATTTTGTTTGCAACCCCGCCTGTATTACTTTTTACAAATAACATGCCTCCAGAAATTGTGACTGCTCCAATGCTGGAGGTTTTTAAGAAGAGATTGGACAACCATTTGTGTCACGCCCCTGTCGGAGTCTGAAACCGAGGAGGAAGACAAACAGCTGACAGGGAGTGGGAGTGTGGCTCCGTTGGCTGTGGAGGAAACTGGGGAAGAGCAAAGTCCAGCCGGGCAGAGCAAGGGAGAGGTAGAACAAGGGAGAGGGAGTTCAGAGGAAGACCTGAGCCCACCCCCTCTTCATCCTAGGGCACACAGGGAAGAACGGCGAAGAGAGCAACGTGGGTAGTGTAGCTTACAGGGGAGGAAAGGGTCCTGATTCCCTTCATTAGGCACAACTGGGAAGAGAGTTTAAAAGAGATGCATGCTGAGAGCAGCAACTGCTGTGAACAAATGTGAGTTTATCTTGTGTTGACTTTGCTTATCTGTGTTTCTGGCATCTTCCCAACTGTGTTGAGTTATTGCCGTGCCTTCACATCTGGAATTCCTTCTCTTGCCCTGCTGGACTAATTACATTTTGACTTGATTGGACTTATAGTTACAGTTTTTGTTGACCACATTTTGGACTTGATTCTCTGCAGCCAAAGGCTGTTTCTGGGAGAGTTTTTCTCCAGCCCAGAAGGAAGCCAGGATATTGGGGCAAAGTTGGAGCTAATAAAGGGACTCCTACTGATTATCTGACTGTGTTGCCTTTGTGCCACGCCCCTTTGGGTCATCACACATTTGTCTGAAATGGTCTCCCAGGGTCTCCTGCTTGAGCAGGGGGTTGGACTAGAAGACCTCCAAGGTCCCTTCCAACTTTGCTGTTCTGTTAACTCAAGGTGACAAACATCAAACACAGCTTCCTCCTCTTACTTTACCCACAACAACAACCCAATGAGGTGGGTTAGACTGGAAGAGAGAGTGACTGGCCCAAAGTCACTGAGCTGGTTTTCATGGTTAGAAATATAATATATATTACATTGTATAATAATAATAGACTGTATGGTTTCTGTTTTCAAAAATGCATGCCTAGCCCCATACGGCATGAAATGTAATGGGAATAAATGCCAGATGGGGATTAGTTTGACAAATTTAATTTACCTTCTAAAATTCTATGCAGAGACACACACACAGGGAGAGAGAGAAAGAGAGAGAGCGAGAGAGAGACACGAAAGGTTAATCAACTAATGCATTGCCCTGACAGATAGATACTTTACACTCTGCTGGTTTTGAAAGGGAATATCGACAAGCATTTTATGGGAACTTCAGTCCACATTTAATCTCTAATTCACCCACTTTTGATGTAAGCCTTAATTGGAGATGCACGCAACAGTGGAACAAGAGTAGATCAACTGAACAGCGTAAAGGGTTTCCAATTATACATGTATATTCCATTAAGAAAGATTGCTCCATAGAACAATGTGCGTAGGGAGGAAAAAAGGCACCGTAAAATAAAAGATATTAGAAAAGAATTTAGCCGTCGTAATGATAGGAATAGGCGCGGCTGGCAAAGTGGCATTTCCGGATTGCGTGTCAAATATTTCAACACAGGTTTAGATCTTTGTATCAGCAATTTAGGAATATTTCAAAAGTATATTGTTGTTGAAGTACTATTCAGACACCACACTATAAAAATGTTTTATAGAGGAACAAAAATCCCATATTGGTTGTATTACAGGACACATCTATGATCTCCAACTTGCCAAAAATATGATCAGTGTCAGTAAGGAATCTTTATAAAGCCCTATGTATGCGGTTTTTAAAAAATACACAATCATGTATACTTCAAAGGAGACACATCTTTATCATTTTACAGATGATAGATGATAGATAGGTAGACAAGATAAATAGATAGACAGACAGACAGACAGACAGACAGACAGACAGTAGGTAGATAGGTAGTAGGTAGATAGACGGATAGATAGATAGATAGATAGATAGATAGATAGATAGATAGATAGATAGATAGATAAATACTAGAAAGATACATACTAAGATACTAGATAGATAGAAGATAGGTGGGTAGGTAGAGAGTAAATAGTAGATAGATAGATAGATAGATAGATAGATAGATAGATAGATAGATAGATAGATAGATAGATAGATAGATGATAGATAGCATGTAGATAGACAGATAGGTAGGTAGGTAGTATATAGATGAAAGATAGGTAGATAGACAGTAGATAGACAGTAGATAGAGAGTAGATAGAGATAGATACTAGATAGATCTAGATAGATAGATACATAAGATAAATATAAGATAGATACTAGATAAATAGATAGTATAGATATAGGTAATAGGATAGATATAGATGATAGATAGATAGATAGATAGATAGATAGATAGATAGATAGATAGATGATAGATAGATAGATAGATAGATAGATAGATAGATAGATAGATAGATAGATAGATAGATAGATAGATAGATAGAATAACTTTACTTTCACTTTGAATGTACACCAATTGGCATACATTAAAATAAAATTTCATTGCATACAGGTTTCAAAGGGTCACCACTTGCAATATAACCACATAAACATGACTAAATAAATAAATAAATAAATAAATAAATAAATACATACATACATACATACATATGCATATACCCACATCTATTCTATGACACAGGGAAACAACAATAGTCTAGTTCGGGTGTATACATGTACAAGGTGAGAAAAAATGAATCTTGTGAGGTGGAAAAGAAATGGAAATTACTAGGTATAACTATTCATGAGTCAGGATACAAGACTAAAAATGCATAAAGGCTTAAACCCTCTCAAAGATGCTTTTCTAACAGAGTTGTAACTCAAGGACTACCTGCAGGGCTTGTGTATTCTTCTATAGATTAAATTTTTCATTTGATAACTCCATACGCGACACATAAACGTATGTTATGCGGTGATGGGTGGTAAAAATGTAATAATTAGAGGACACATACCTCTTTCCTTTTTTTGGGTTTCATCTCAAGCAGAGTTTATTGCTCAGGAGAGAAGCAAATACTTCGAGTCAACTAATTGCAAGTTAGAAATCAAAATTAAGCAAACCTTAATCGTGGCTCCAGGGAAAAACAGCCAGTTTCCCGTATCCACAGGATCAAGGTTGTCTTCTAAAATGATTTGTCTGTGAGCTGCATTGATGATCAAGATATTGTCCAACGCCCAGCAGGATTCGTACACTTCACCCACATGTACATATTCCTGCTTCCACTGAAATTGAATATTTTCTCCTTTGGCTTCTTCGGGGAGATACAGAATGTGGATGATGGTGCTGACATTAGAAGGAGCTCTGTATGACACAAGTAGGCAAAATGAATATTATTATTATTATTACTATTTAGTTACTCACTTAGCCGGGGCAAGTAAGCAATATTCATAATATGATACTCAAGAAATCCTGTCTTTCAATCAAACTGTTCAATTCTAGGCAATGTCAATCTTGCAATCCTCCTCCTCCTCCTCTTTTAACGACTCCATAATCCCTTGCAGGATGGAGTCTGGGCAACTGAATGGAGCTGAGTATTTACAGGCCGGATGCCTTTCCCGTTGCCAGTGTGGAGTTGTTTCTTTCCCCAGCAGATATATTCTCAGTGTGCCCAGAGAGAGAAATATCTGCCCCTACCCAGGATCGAACTCACAGCCTCCTGATTGTGAGACAAGAGGTCTACCTCCAGGCCACCGCACCACTCCATGAGTTAATCTTGCAATATTTGTTGAAATTAAAACAAAATTGCATTTGGCTGAAACATTGCATTTGTCCTAAAAGTAATTTGCAAACACCAAGCATTTTATACAGGTAGTCCTCAAGTTATGACCGAAATTATTTTTGTTGCTAAGTGAGACAGTTGTTAAGTGATTTTGCCCCATTTTATGACTTTTCTAGCCACAGTTGTTAAGTGAATCACTGAAGTTATTCAGTTAGTAACACCGTTGTTCAGTGAATCTGGCTTCTCTGTTGATTTTGCTTGTCAGAAGGTCGCAAAAGGGGAATCACACAACCCTGAGACACAGAATAAGTTCATGCCAGTTGCCGAGTGTCCAAATTTCGATCACGTGACCATGGGAATGCTACAATGGTGTAAGTGAGAAAAATGATCACGGGTCGCTTTTTTCCATGCCCTTGTAACTTCGAACACTAAACAAAATGGTTGTAAGTTGAGGACTACCTGTATTTAGCTTAGAACTATGAAACATGAAGCTTGACCTGGGCTAAATAAATTCTGCAGGAAAGAATCTTGCAAGTCCCATAGAAATCAATTGAGCTGTCAGAGCCCCAGAGATGAACAAGGAAGTGGAAGAGGGTGAAGAAATAGTCAGCCCAAGAATGGTGTTTTACTGTCTGAGAAACCAAGTTTTTGCCACGATTATGGTTTCTTATTCTTCTTCAGAAGAGGAAGATCAATTTTTTGTTCTTTCCACAACTTTTGCTTGATCTAAACAGAAGTCTCCAACCTTGGCAACTTTTAAGACTTGTGGACCCTTCAACTCTCATAATTCCTCAGCCAGTGTGGGAATTCTGAGAATTGAAGTCCACAAGTGTTAAATTGCCAAGATATGGACACCCCTGACTAAGGAAATATGCAACAAGGAAACAGGAAATATCTGCTCATATTCCAATGATTCTGAATCAAGAAATTCTGAAGTCTTGAACTGATGAACGATCAATGTTTTATTCATCCCTTTGCCTGAATCACAGAGATGCTTAAATTGTAGTTCAAAAATGGGTCTTCCAAGGGGAAAGGTGGCATTAGCAACCTGCAGCACGTATCTTGATTCCCCCTTTTTTGCAAACTCAAATGATTGGTGAAAACTGACATCAGGGTTTTCGGTTTTTCAAGATTGGAAACATATGAAATGTCTAAGTCCTAAAATAAGAATATCGCAATTAAATAACAATCATTCAACATTTCTACAGGGAGTGTAAGTGCATATTAGATCCATGTCCTTTCTGATTGGTTGAAGCTGCCCAAATTGTGATGTGTGGCTGGATCATAGTAAGGGGGCAGTCTTGCTCTTGAAGTAGGTTGTTGGTTTCTCAAGAAGCCATTGTGGGATTCAGTGAGCAGCTTTTCCCTTTTTTGGGAAAGTTGTTGAGAAGGTATTTGGTTTGACAAAAGCTCTACAGGAAACAGATTATCTGGAGCCCTTTCCATTAGGATTCAGACTAAGATATAGAACTAAGACATCATTGGCTGCATCAGTAGAAGATTTCCAGAAAGACCAGAGTGGAGAGTGATCCATCCATCTTAGCTTTCTGGATCTTTCAGCAGCCTTTGATACCTGTAACCATTGTTTCAAGGGTGTTACAAAGGTTTTTCTCCTTCCTTCAGATCTGGTTTCAGAGGGTGTTGTGGGGGGAGATGTAGGAGATGACCAGGCTGAGCCCGAGGGAGGGGTCAAACATGTCATCATTCTTGAGTTCCTTCAAGAGATCCAACTCTAGCCCTCCTTGAATTCTGTTGACTCTTATCTTATCTGCCTTGACCGTTAGTAGTTCGGATTCTTGTTTAGAGGTAGCAAGTTTAACACCCCTGTGGTAAAGGTTTTTGAATTGGAATATATTTGTGGCTTGGCTTCAATTTTATTGTTTTGTGGGGTGTCCCTCTGTGTTAATTGATGATTCGTTTGCATGTTTTTAGCCCTTTGCAAGCCAGAGTCGGAGAAATATAAACAAATATATCTAAACTGTCCCTCTAATATAGTCTTTTAAAAAATTCAAATCTCTATTTGTCTTATTTTAGATGTATTATTTTTAATTTACCATACGAAAACATAGACAACATGCTTCTTAAAAAACAACAACAAAGCAAAATTCAATACTGAAATAAAACATCCAGCAGCCAAACTTTGTAAAACATTGCAGGAAAAAAGGAGTGCTGAGGAAGAGTTATAACAAACCTAATTTTCTCCAGTTGAATCCAATCTTCTGAATTATTCTTTGAATAGGAGACAATTATGTCTGGATCGGAGTAACTAAAACGGCACGAACCTGACCCTGTGGAGAAAAATAACAGCAGAAGTATTTATAGCCCTGTTAAGTGATACATTATCCTTTCGACATTCTCTTCTGAGAGAGTCCTTGCCACCATTCTTAATTTTCCATATTTCAACTTTATTTTATTTTTTGATGGATGGTAAGTTCTGCTGTGCTCTGTTGTTGGCGGAAAAAGCATAATAATGCATGCTCCCTGAGTTAGGAATAACTTAGGGAAGATAAATCACAGCAGACCAGCATAATTTGCGATAGATTTCCCAGGAGAGGGTATGATAAATTACTAAACACCCCCTTATTCAAAATGCACACACAAGGCATGGTATAGCAAAAATGAAGTGCCACGCGCCATACTTGCCAAGGTACAAAGTGAAAAACGGCAATACGTGACAGGGATCCTTAAAGCATAAAGGAAAAAAACTGATATTGTAACCATTGGATGATCTTAGTTATAAAGGTAGTCCTTGATTATGACTATAATTGTCACCAGAATTTCTGCACTAACCACAGTGGTTAAATGAGTTGCGCCCAATTTTACAACTATTTTTATTGTGGTCATTAAGCAAAGAGCCGTGGTGGCGCAGTGGTTAGAATGCACTATTGCAGGCTAACTCTGCCAAATGTTAGGAGTTCGATCCTGACTGGCTCAAGGTTGACTCAGCCTTCCATACTTCCGAGGTCGGTAAAATGATGACCCAGATTGTTTGAGGTGCAAATATGCCGACTCTGTAAACCACTTAGAGAGGGCTGAAAAAACTGTGAAACAGTATACAAGTGTTATTGCTGTTGCTAATTTACATGGTTGTTAAGCAAATATGGATTTCCTGGTTGGCTTTGTTTCTTGAAAGCTGGCTAGAAAATTGCAAATAGTGATCGTATAACACTGGGACACTGCAGCCATCATAAATACATGCTGGTTGCCAACATCTGAATGTTGATCATGCGATCATGGGGATGTTACAGTGGTTATAAGTGCAAGGACCTGTTGTAAGTCATATTTTTCAGCACCATTGTGACTGTCGTAAGTTGATGACTACTCGTAAACTCTCACAACTAAGTAGAGTCAACTTATTCGTCTCCCAGAGAACAGTATGGTATAGGAAGTGTATCACTGATGGCAGGTCTAATATACTGTGTCATATTTTCCCTTCCTAGCATGTATTAACAAGAGACAGGAGTCAGCTTTAAAGGCATAGAAAAGAAAAATATCAGAGTTTTACAACCCTTGCAACTTATTCATAATGCTGCAGGTCAAGGCCAGTGCTGTGGCCCATCAGTGGCCAGCAGAGCTGGCGGCAGAATCGGATAGTGAGGAGGTTGGGGAGGAACATGGGCCAGTCCTGGAGTCTGGGGAAGGCTCAGGCGAGGGTTCTGCGTCGGAGGCAGAGATGGGGCCAGAGCTGTCCATCAGTTATCAGCTGCCTTCAGAGTCGGAGATCAGTGCGGCAGAAGAACAGCTGGAGCCTGATCCCGATGTGCGCATGCACAGAGCTGCCAGGAGAAGGGAACAGTTAAGGAACAAGGATCGACTCGGGAGCAAGGGCACAGGTGGACGATGAATGGCCCCTCCCATTAGGAATAAAAGAAGCGCGAAAGGGGAGGGGTGTTTACAGGAAACAATTAGTTTGTTTAATTAGTGTGAAGATTTGTGACTCTCAGAGACTCTTTGCCAAGTATTTTCTTGTACAGCATTGCGCTTGGAGGCTATCAGCCTGGCAGCTCTCCAAGCTTGATAAGGTATCACTCACTTCACCCTTGAAAGACTGTTTGCCGGGACTTTGCTGGATGTGAATGATAGGAATTCACATTAGCCTAATAAAAAGAGATGAGGAGTCTGCTTTGTGATTTTGCGAAGCCTAGGTCAGAACAGCCAGCCCAAGATTTTGCTACCAAATCTCCTTTCAAGGCTGAAGACCACAACGTTGGCTTCATCCTCCAGATATTTATTCTAGCCTTCCCCTCCTTTACAGCTATTTAGGATGTCTTCTGAAGTCCACGAACCTGCTGAACGGCCAGTCTGACATCTAGTAAGCATCGAAATGCTGGGAACCATGTTCCTGATTGTTCCTCGTGGCTTAGCCTCTTCCTTGTTATGTTCTAATTATTACAAGATTGAATCCAGAAGCAAGTTCATGCCTGAGTGCACCTTCTCAACCCTTTGCCCCGGGGGACCAGGGACCATGCTCAGGCATGTTATCTCTTCCACGCCAAGCCCTTTTAATTAAGCTATTATTCCATAATGAGCACCAATGGGCAGCCCATCATCGCCTTAAGAGACTTTTGAGCAGCCAGGCCTATAATGCTCTAATCCAAATTAATGAACCAAGCTTTTTTCTTTTTAATTCCCCGTCAATAAATAACCAGAATTAAAAGCCGGCAGATCCCACAAGAGGACTGAAGAAAAACTCAAAGCAGGACCATAATAAACAGCCATGGATAGAATATGCTTTCATCAATGCAATTGAGACTCAGAATAATGAGACTGCGAGGATCAAGGATTAATTACGACTGGATTCCATCGGCGCAACTGAGTTTGTCAGATGTATTTGTTTGTCAGATGTATTTGTATTTTTCTACTCAGTCTCTGTTTTAGTTTGAGTAATGTGGTGATGACGCTGATTTTTCTTCTCCCCTGATAAACTAAATTTCAAAGTTCCATCTCTCTCAGTAATCTTTTTACTAAAGTTCTAGATTCTTTTACTTCCAGCAACTTGCTCAATTTATGATTCGATCAAGATTTCCATAAATATTGATAGTGATTCTGTCACGTTCTGGCCTTTTTCCTGTTTAATGTTTGTGAACATTCTCAGTCAACCAGGTCATAGTTGTCTCAAAGATGCTTTTTCCCTTCAAAAGTCAACTGGACTGTTTTTTCCTTGAGGAAGAAAATGTTTCACTCAGTGGTGGGATTCAAAAAAAATTACTACCAGTTCTGTGGATGTGGCTTGGTTGGCATGGCAGAGGAAGGATACTGTAAAATCTCCATTCCCACCAGGGTGGTCTTCAGCAAGTTCTGACCAGTTCTGGAGAACCAGTAGCGGAAATTTCGAGTACTTCAGAGAACCGGCCAATCCCACCTCTGACTGGCCCCACCCTCATCTATTGCCTACCTCACATTGAGTCCCAGCTGATAGTCTGGGTCTTCTTTGGTTGCCCTGCACAGGAGAACAGAGCTGGAAAGCAGGTTAGTGGGTGGAGAGGGAATGGGGATTTTGCAGAAACCTTCCCCTGCCATGCCCACCAAGCCACAGAACCAGTAGTAAAAATGTTTGAATCCCACCCCTGATTCCCACCCCACTCTAGGGGAAGGATACTGCAAAATCCCATTCCCTCTCCACCCCACTAACCTGCTTTCCAGCTCCATTCTCCTGTGCAGGGCAACAAAAAAAGACCCAGCTGATCAGTTGGGACTCGGGAGGCAGAGAAGAGATGGGGGCAGAGCCAGTCAGAGGCGGTATTTGCCGGTTCTCTGAACTACTCAAAATTTCTGCTACCAGTTCTCCAGAACTGGCCAGAACCTGCTGAATAGCACCTCTGGTTTCACTTCTCATCCAAGAAGCTTTGTCAATTCTGATGGTGGGGGGATGGAAGGATAGGTTTTGATAGGATGGGGTTGGTGGGGTGGATGGCCAGATGACTTTCTTTGTAGTCATCTGGTTGTTAGCACTCTCTCTGAGAGTTGTTGAGGTCCTTTGGGGGGTTTTCTGAGCCCCCAACAACAGGGTGCAATTGTTTGTGAAATCTTCTTGGAACTGCTGAAAGGACTTCATTGTTCACAGTGGTGCCATTTTCCTCCCTCCCTACTGAGGGAGAGGCATTCAGTTCTAACATAGAGGGATTCTTTCACCCTTCTTTCAAACCAATGGTCTTCTTGTCAGAGTATATTGATGAACTGGAATAGAGCATGGTAACAAGGTCAGCCAATGAATAGGCATAGCAACTAAATCAGCCAATGAGGATAGTTTGGAAACTGAAACTAGAAGTAGCCTAGGCTGGAAACTGAAACTAAAAATAGTCTAGGCGTGGCTCTATGTTAAGCTCTGCAACTCTGCAGCTATCTGTCTATTGAAGATGAACCTAACTTGCTTGCTGAAAACTAGAGCTCTGCTCTGAACTTGCAACATGTTTCTGTTTGAGTTTGCTCCATGTTGGAGAAATCTACAACTGGTTTGTAAAATCTACTTATGTTAATAAAGATGTTAAATGAAGCATCAGCCATCTGGATTTATTTTTCTGGCGCTGAATTACTGCTGCAAAACTCCCAATACTTCTCTATCCAAAATGTGGAGTATCCAAAATGTGGATTTTCCTGCTTAGGTTCAGTCATTCTTTAAAAGAGAGATTTTCCTCTTTCTCCTCTTTCACTTCCTCTTAAGCAGCGGATAGCATCATCGTCCTAAGAGTAGGCCAGTTTGCATTGCATCTTGCTGTCTGAAGCCAACTCCAGGGCATAATTTAAAGGAAGCCTTTCCAACAGCAAAGCTTCAAAAGTTGAAATGAAATCCTTCGAAAGCGAAAATTATTCCCTCAAAAGTCCCCCCCAACTCCACTCCTTCCTTTAAAACAAAAACAAAGGACATTGTGGAGATGCCTCAAGATTGAAGCGTCACCTCAAAGTGAGTGGGAAATAAGTCAAAAAAATTAGATTCCAGCTTCAGGAAAAATATGTTTCTTCCATAGCAAGAGTTCCAATTCTTATTAAATGAATGTCTGCTGTGAGACTTAGTGTAAACCCAACATAAAAAAATAATAATAATCAAGATTGTAGATTTGTGAGAAATCCTAAGGGGCTCCAGGAAGCAGAAGGATCAAATATATGTGCATTATTATGGTTTATATATAATGGAGCAGTCCCCTGGGTGGATACATAGGCATTTGAAAACCCACACCAAAGAGAAGGTAGTTCCTAGAAATAGAGATACAGTACATGGGCATATTGGAAAATGGGAATTGAGATGAGATTCCATTATAACAGAATAACAGAGTTGGAAGGGACCTTGGAG